AATTTTTTCGTGAGTTCATTCGGTGCATTGGTCAATAAGTACACATTGCACATTCAAACTCCCTGCAGACTTCACTCATAAAATAAATCACATAATTAGTGGAAAATATCCATGTGAATTTCACATAACTTTCATGTGATCCCATAATTGGAAATTGCACCACTAAATCACATGAACGTTATGTGTCCAATGAAATCTATATGATTTCTCATATAGAATTTCTAATGCTATGTGATATTCAGGTAAAAATCATTGTTTTTGTTTTTGGAAAAATACTATGTGCGTTCCTAATAGAAACTAAGTGAAAACTTTTTTCAGTGTTGGGCCTCGACATGTACACAGGTGTAAGGGGGTATATACATGAACGTAAAAAAAGGAGATTCTTCGCTTCATTTCCTCAATCAGAAGGGCAACATACTCTGTCAAGGGATCTAAAATTTGTGTTTACTTTGTAAGGTGGAGAGGCATCGGATGAATTCCTGCCCAAGCGGTAGGCTCTGAAGTAGCCTTGAGTAGGTTTGATCATCTCACTTTACCTCCCGCTAGTGGAATACCCCTCACCATCCCTCTTTAACGGGGGAGTTTGGTAAAGAGAGATGATCAAACCGATTTGTACCATCCTAAAAAGTTGTCCTTGCTCGCTTTCTACACTCTATATACAATTTTTACACTGCCGTACTCTAACGGAACTATCAACTCTATACTTTCATTTCCTCATCTATCATATAAAAATTACCACTTTAGTCTGTTATTTGAAATAAGCATCTTCAACTATATTCTAAACAATGTTTCTAATAAATATGATTCATAATTATACTATTATTTACTGGTTCTCGGCACCGTGAAGTCCGTTTGGATATTGAAACCATACTAAACAAACTGATTGAAAAATTTTGGTGGGGTTGTGTACAAGACATGACCGCAGGGTTGACGTAGACTACACACTTAGAAATTATTATTTTTACACGAGACGTAATTCAGCTTTGACGTAAATCATGGAACGTAAACAAACGTGGCATGTAAAATTAAGTGTCCTGGAACTGAAACATATACAACTCGACGAAAAGTGCATTTGATTGAATTGATTTTCTCGTCCTTTTCAACTTATTCTTATGTCAAAAGGGCCGCTTGCATGTGTCGGTCTCAGGGCACTGAAATTTACATGTCTTTTTCGTAGTGTGTACGTTAAGCTGTGTAGTGAAATACAGTAGAAGTAACCTATGATTTCGGTCCTATGTACATATTTTGGATTTCCTTCTTAGTAAAACTTGGTTAAATTCAGGACCTCATAAAAATGCGAATACATATTCTATTTCATTTGGTTCCTAAATTACAATCAGATATGAGTAAGGCTTTCTTAAGGTGATTCATTGAAGCGTTCAACAATGACCGTCATGATGGCTGATATTCCCTATCACTTCAAGATTTCTAGGACAGTTGTGACATCACTCATGAAATTGAAACTCCTGTGTACTGGACTGCAACAAACGTGAAGTTCCAGTTTCTTTGTTATAAGTTTTGTGAGAGCTGATATCTGTACTCTAGAAATTTTTCTATGGTAATGAGATTGATCCTCAGCAATTCAACTTCAAAACGCTAAAAATAAATGCACATACAAAAACGGAGTGCACAATTTTGCATCAATGTTATGCAACATTTCATAGTTGATCGAGATGATATCATGAATCCCTCCAATAAGTTCTCGGTACATCTTTTATCTACCGATTGAACCAATAAAAAAATACTAAGGCTGTGTTCCATTTGGAAAATTTTCACTTAGATTTGACACTTCAAAAATAAATTAAGATGTTCGAAAATCCCTCTGTTGTAGATCGGCCGATTTTCGAGAAAGCGTCTGTCAAATTGATTCCTTGTCTGTCAGAAATAAGTCTGCTGGAATAGCAGGTTTATTTGAAAATTTTCCATTTGTCAAATTTAAGCAAAAATTCACCAAATGGAACACAGCCTTAATAACTTGAGCACAGAATCGTTTCTTGTTGTGTTTGTCGTATTAGATGCTAGATAAAAACTTCTTTTATCGATATGTGTGCTGAAAATATCTGGGCCGAGTGGATTCAAGGAGAATGCTAGTGTTACTTAGGACGTAATGCAATGTTCAGCTTGAATTGTTTCGCTTAGCTGTAAACAGAAAATCGATGAAGTGAATCGAACATTACAAGTAGGCCCTTTTGAGCGCTCACTGTCGAATTTCAGAACCTAGAACTAAAAAAAACTCGACGGTACCTCTATTTATGCTAAGAGATAAGCATTGCAAGCCCTCCTGCTTGAAGAATTATGCAACCACTTTGGACAAAAGGTTAAAAGTATAATTTTTTCTTTAATAAAAATTAAGCAATGTCAGCTTTCCTATTTTTTATGAGTTATAATGCCTTATGGAGTAAAAATATTGTTTTAGTTTATGCCGAGACATTGTAAAGTCAATGGTTTCGCAGTATTGATTGTAAGAGCCCATCATGCGGTTTAATGGCCCATATTTTGCATAATTTGTACGATGATGTTTTATGGCAAATAAATTTCGATTTCGGAGTTGCCGAGTAGGTGCATGGAAATTTAATTTTGATAAAAGTTCTGTGGAGTCAATGCGTTGCGAAACGATATCGTTTACAAATGAAACCATTGCATATTCACGACGCTCTTTTAATGTTTGTATGTTTATAAGCATGCAGCGTGCTTCATATGAAGAGGAAATGATGTCCAACCTAATTTACGAAGAGCGTATAATAGAAATTGTTTTTGTACGGATTCTAATCTTTCTTCGTGCGTGATTGAAAAAGGAGACCATACAATGCTGCAATATTCCAGTATTGACCTCACATAGGCGATATATAGTGTTTTAATTGTGTATGGGTCCTGAAAGTATGCTCTAAAAGCATAAATTGAGGTACCGTCTGATAATTTATACATTTATCCTTTTTATCACCACAGAAACACCCCGTTCCCGTTTTCTAATGCAAAATAATGAATGTGCGTTTACAAAACGCACGAAATCTTTAAAAAACAATGTTAATTTTTTTTTTTAATTCAATCAATAGATTAAAGATGTACCGAGAATTAAATGGAGGGATTTCAAGTTAAAATGTTCTGATCGCGAAATATTGACTATCAATACCGAAATTTCGCATAAATGTCCAACCTAAAGAGCCTGAGTTTATAAAGAGGCGACATTTTATCCATTTGACAGGTCTTCTGCTCGATTGGAATGACTTTTCTTATGACTTTGACAGACAATCGATTGTTCCAATTTTGACATGTCGTCTCTTTATAAATTCAGGCTCTTTAGTCCAACCCATTTTGTGTGGTGTGTGCTGCTGTCTTTCAGTGTTGCCCAATAATTAGGGAATTTTCATAAATAACGTAGTAGTTGAGGGAGGAGACGAGGGGGGGGGGGCGGTGCGATACATCTAAATCTCAAGTTAAGATGCTCAACAAATCTCACACTAGCGAATCAATCTTCGAAAAATCTTCTTTCATTTGTCATCTACTTGCATCGAGCATCATCTTTTTTCAGGAAATCTTCAGAATCGGCACTTCTATCTACTCAGCGTGCGCGCAGCTAGCCACAGCAAAACACAATCTTTTCTGAATCGTAGATAGAGTCGTCCCCCTCGGGAGGAGAGGGGTTTCAGAAGTTGGGACCGGCCATGTATTAGGTGTATTGAAAAACACGCTCCGAGGGGGAAGGGGGTTAATTGGTCAAAAATATACGTAATTTATGGATGGCCCTAATTTTACTTCCAAGGCTGTGTCGCAATGGGTGAGTTGAATTTAACTCGTGGTTATCGAATAACCCTACTATACGAGCGAAAATTGAAAATAACTTACGAAATGTCACGTTTAACCACGAGTTAAATTTAACTCGGCAATTGGTACACAGCCCAAGAAGTTTTTCTCGATTACTTTTTCGAAGGAACGTATCAGCTTTTGTAAACAACGCATTTGATCGTCGATTTGGCGTAACTGGTAGCTCGCCCACGCCTGCTAGTACTACCATCAGATAGGGGAAAATTTAGTTATCATTCAGGCAAGGAGCGCTTGCGCCATCGAGGCGACGCCACTACCAGCAGCCAATGATCTCGACGAGAACGACGCGCAAAGTTCGAGGTGCAAAACTCGAACTCTGCGCGCTTGACAGGAACCGCCTTCCTACTGCTGCTACTGCTGCTACTGCTACTGCTGCTACTGCTGCTGCTGCTACCTGCTTACCCGCCGTCCGAAGCGAAAATGAGTTGAGGCACATTAGCAGCGATGTTTTATAACTTTTCTGATTCATGTGCACGATGTGCAACCAAATTGTACTTGATTATGAGGACTGGGTTTGGGGAGAACGTTTATTTCATGAAAACAGTGATAAAATTATCACTTTTTATTTGTCCATTTTTAAAACAGTTTTTTATGAAAAATTAAAAAAAAAAGTTTATTGCAACAGCTTACGAAAGGTATTTCCTATCAATTGGTGTATTCGGATTTTAATTTCATCGATAAATGACAAAGCTTATAGCGTTCAAAAAGTTACACCTTTTCGTGACGGTCGCAATTTTAAATTTTCGATTTACCACCAGTACCTTCTCGTAAGACGTAGTCTACGTCAAAAGTATCATTGAAGCATTAATTACATACATGTTTGATAACAGCATTAAAATCAATGTTCTGATGCTTTTGAGAAAAGATAGTATTTGGCATTAAGTGCTTAACACTGAAAATATAAAATATATTGACGATACTATGTACTGTATACAAAGAATATCGGTCTCATTACGCTTTTTAGTGTTCTTGTAGGCTGAAAAGTTTAAAAAATAAAATGAATGAAGAAAGTCATAGTAATTTTATATTTTAGATACCTACCTATTGGTGGCAAATAAACGAAAAAATAAGATGACCATTTATAGCCATGAATAGCATTTCTTATCAAATTAAATATTAATTCAGCCATAACAAAAATAGAAACAATAACCAACCCATTTTTTTCTTTCGTTTTTCAGTGGACGATTCATCCGGAAAGTACAATCAAGGATTCTTCTGGGGAAATAACTACTGGACAGGCTCGCTTACACAGTGCTCTTTTATTTATCGCAAAAGCACCACAAGTAGAAGTATCAACAAAACCAACAAAAACACCGATTTTACTTACGTTAACGGAAATTTTCTTGGAGCATCAGATATGATGCATGAGAATCCTCCATTCATTCCAGGATTTTACATGCTCAAAGTTTTACTAAATAATACTCATACGCTAGGACCGGTAAAATTTCTATCTATTATTTTTGGTGTGTTCTTTCTTAAAACTTATTTTTCATTCACAGCCTAGGACCGTTTTATTGGGGCTGTGTCTTCCTGGATCCTGTCAGCTAAGTGACGTTGTAGAGATGACCATGAAAAGTGAACCTTCCAATAGAGATATCCAAATTGTTGGCGTGAGGTCACCGACATTAAACAACTTTTCCTTGTGGAAAGACTTCACGTTCCAGATTTTATTGTAATTGTGGTTACTACATTTTCTGTACAAGCTTTACATAACAATAAGTAGTTTTGTGTTCAATCAAATTTCGAAGTTTTCAGGTTAATTCATGGTGGGTAGGAATATATTTCCTGGAATTTTAAACGTAATTGAAATGGTTTTGGGTTATACTAACTTTGGTGCAGAGGCAACAAGAAAGTCACGTAACTAAAACATCCCAAATCACCGTAAAGCATTGAAATTCAGACACTCAGCCCAAAAATCCGGATACTTTAAAAAGTTGATTATGAATTCCTACCATGCTCAAAATAGCACGTACATTTGATCATGTCGTCTTAGTATCGTTCAGAATCATTGCACAATTTTATCTTCTTGCAATGTACAGAACAGTGTTGAGAAAATATCAAAAAATCAAATTTCACCAATGTCCAAGATCACGCTTGATTTTCGCAGACAAACTGCGGTTGATTTTGCAAGCTGTGATATCGCAGCTCAGAATATCAAGCTAACAAAACTCACCAGCTGCAAATCTCACCAAACTGTGGTGAGATTGAGTTTAATGAGCTTTGCTTTACACCCGAACGCAACCGAAACTTCCATAACGGCTGGCAGCAGTCCCTTCGTGTCTGCCATCGGTGAAGAGTTAAAAGAGATAGCAAACTATACTTTCTCTTTCTAAGAAAACGATGTAAGTACAATGGAATCATTTTTGTGTCGAGTCAACTGTCAGCTTAATTTTTGCACGTTGTGAATAGTCTCGCAATATCAAAGGAGCTGTAAAATCAATATCAAGCATGATATTTTGTTCCAATATCACGCGTGATATTGAGAGCGTATGAGAGCGGAAAAATATCATTTGATTGATGATTTAGCCAACACTGGTACAACCCACATTAACGAACCGTTTGGTATTCGATGCATTACAGCAACACTTTGTTAGGCTACCTCCAAATTGTAGCTAAAGATGTTACAAACATAATTTTTCATTGTGTTTCATGCTATGTTCAGACTGCAGAGTTATAACATGTTATAATAACTTATATTACAGAAAAACACATCAAGATAGCCCTATGACATGTTATAATTCGCCAGTCTGAACATAGCATTAGGGTAGGTGTACCAGTTATGGCTATACTTTCCTATTATGGCGTGTTCCAATTATAGCCTATGGGAATTCCATAGTACATAATTGGAGCACACCATAGGAATAGGAACATATAGCCACGACTGGTACACCTACCCTATGTATCGTTAAAAAATTCAATGTCGTTCTGATTTTTTTTTTCTTTCTTTTTATCAATTGATTTATTTGTACAGGCTCAACCGAATAAACTTTACAGAGCCAAGTTATCATTTTCGTTATACATACTTAATCCTAATCTTAAATCTAGAGTAACAGAGATTGAACCGAATACTCGTGGTCGCCTCGAGGTTAGAGGACATTTACGATTGTATGGATGGGGAGAGAGAGGAGGAGATTTCACTATTTCTAAAACATGAATTTATTTCTATTCAACTTGTTATCAGCTGTATAATTTTACAATTAATACCAAAAAAAATTTAAACAAAACCAAACACACAAAATACAAACTAAACACAAGTTATTAAAACTTACAATCTAAGGTTAATATTCTTCAGGAAAATACATATAAGTTTCATAAACTCCAGATCACGTCTAGCCAAAACACCTGATCTGGAACATTAGGTTGTCTACCTCGAGCCCGAAGGGAATCGTACAGCTCAGATCTGACTCCACGATGCTCAGCACAAGACCAAATGATGGGATCTGCGTCTTGGTAACCTTGTCCACATTCACAGAGTTTGCTGTCCCCCAGCCCAACACGGAACAAGTGAGAGTTTAACGAATAGTGATTGGACACGAGGTGAGACATCACACGAATGAAGTCTCGACCCACATCCAACCCTTTGAACCAAGAACTCTTCGATACCTTAGGGATGATCGAATATAGCCATCGTCCCAAACTCCCTTCACTCCATTTATTCTGCCAGCTCGCGAGCGACTGTTGACGATAAATTAAAAAAAATTCATTGAAGGTGATTTGTGATTTGCATAGCGCCCACCTTAGCAAGTGAGTTCGCCTTCTCATTGCCTGGAATCTAACAATGAGATGGGACCCATGCAAAGGTGATGACCAAAGATCTTAAAGATAAAGCACCGCTAGAAGACCTCGTATTTTCATGAGCAAATACGAGGAGTGCTTTACCGGCCTCATGGAGCGAATAGCCTCGACAGATTTAAGACTATCCGTAAAGATAAAATAATGATCTGGTGCAAGTGAGGTGATAGTTTCTAGCGTATAATGTATTGCAGCCAGCTCAGCAACATATACGGAACAAGGAGCTTGAAGCATTCGAGAGGCGTTATGAAATTCGTTATAAATACCAAAACCAGCTGACGCCTCTATCAGTGATCCATCTGTGGGGAACGATCTTGCGGAATCAACTTGGCCAAACTTTGCAGTGTATAATGACGGAACAATCATGGAACGATGATGTTCTAGGATTCCGCGAATCTCTTGCGTCATAGATAAATCAAAACTAACTGAATTGGCGAGGTCGGAAAAGTGTACACGGTGAGGATTCTATTGTGAAGGGCTGACATCCTGTGTTATGTACACGTACGAGTTTGAGGGTTGAGCTCAAGAAGCTTCTCAAAATTTTCGATTACCAGTGGGTTCATAACTTCACAACGGGTGAGGAGCCCGCCAACACTTCTAGACTCATCGTATGAGTCGAGTGCATGCATCCTAACGCGATACGAAGACAACGATACTGGATACGTTCCAGTTTGATGATATGTGTTTTAGCCGCCGACTGGAAGCAAAAACTACCGTACTCTAAAACCGATAAAATCGTTGTCCGGTTCAACGTTAGAAAATCTTGCGGATGGGCTCCTCACCACGTTCCGGTAATTGTACGAAGAAATTTGATCCTTTGTTGGCATTTTCATCTCGGATACTCAATGTGGGATCTCCAGGTGCATTTGAAATCGAACCAGACCCCAAGTGATCGGCTTACCCAAAAGTTGAAGCTTCGGTTGTGCTGGGCTATGCTTCCTAGAAAAAAACGACCAACTCAGTTTTCTCCGAGGAGAATTCGATACCTAGCTGGACAGCCCACGTCTCAACGTGCAGTTGTCACTAAGACAGTTATCAATTTCTCTGACATAGAAATTATACAAAAGGGGGCTTAAACATGAGCCCGGGGGAGACCCATGTAACTAAATCGAGAAGCTGTAGAGTTTCCATGAGAAAAGCTCATATGTTTCTCTGACAGCAAATTGTACAAAAAGTTATTAATCAATGGGGAAAGGCCATAAGCGTGGACTTTGTCTGAAAGGACTTCAACTGATACTGAATCTAAAGCCCCCTTAATATCCAAGAAAGAAGCCATTTGCTCTTTTTTAGCAAAAGCCAACTGAATTTCTGTGGAAAGCAACGCGAGACAGTCGTTCGTTCCCTTACCCCTACGGAAACCAAATTGAGTATCTGAGAGCAGGTGGTTTGACCATTTGTCGAGGCGAAAAAGGATCATTTTCTTCAACAATTTTCGATTGCACGATAATATCGCAATGGGACGATACGAGTTATGTTCTGACGCGGGTTTCACAGGTTTTTTAATGGCTATTACTCTCACTCGTCTTCAATCATCTGGAACAATATTGAGCTCCAGGAACTGACCAAACAAGTTCAACATGCGCCTCTTAGCGACGTCTGGGAGGTTCTTCAACAAGTCGAACTTGATCCTATTAGCCCCCTGAGCCGAATTGCGACACGAAAGGAGCGCGAGTGAGAGCTCCAGCATTGTAAAAGGCTGGTTGATCTCGTCTACTGGATTTGTCGATTCGCGAGGAATCATCTGTTTGCTTCCTGTTCGCTCTCGTTGTTTGAAGACCGGTTACGCATCCTTCGCGCCGTGTTCAAAAGCGTATTCATCGACGTTTCGCGCGATAATCCGTCCACGAATTGCCGCCAGTAACCGCGTTTCTTGGCTTTGATGAGGCTCTTGAGTTCGCGTTTAAGAGTCGAGTACGCTTCAAAATGCTCGGGTTTGCCGCGTTTCCGGAAAAGCCTAAACGCGTCGGACTTTTTACGATAAACCTCAGTGCATTGCTGGTCCCACCAAGGGGAAGGAGGTTTCCTACGGAAAGACGTTCCTGGAACCGGCCGAGTTTGAGCTCGAAGCGCGCTGTCGGTGGAAGCTCTTCTACCAACGTTAGGGCTCCATCTATCGCGGTCTTAAACGTTGTCCAATCAATATTACGAGTGAGGTCGTACGCGATGTTAACGGATTCCGACGGATTGAACCCATTGGCAACCAAAATTTTGATCGGCATGTGATCACTACCGTGGGGATCCTGGATCCTGGAAGTGTGAGGTCTAATTTACTTCCATTGGAGGATGGACCAGCCAAACATGTTACTTCTCCATTATTAAGAATTGACATATTGAAATTGTCACAGAGGTCATATATCAAAGTAGAACGGTTGTCATCATACAGTTCCCCCAGCCTGTACCGTGGGTCTCCATAATCAACCGCGGAGTTTGAAGAACTGAATAGATATCTGAAAGTTGTTTTTGATTATTTGAAACTCGGGGAGGAATATACACAGAAGCAATACAAAGACTCTTGCCTTTAACAATAGTGTGACATGCGACAACTTCAACTCCAACTCCTCCACGCGAATCCTCACGATCCAGTCGAATAATGTTGAAATCATTAAAAGGAAAATCGACAACTGAAAAGAGCCAAGTTTCACAAAGAGCATATGCATCACAATCATTATTGTGAACTAAAAACTTAAAAGAGTCTAATTTAGGAATAAGACTTCGACAATCCACTGTAGAACAGTGATCAAATCCCCGACCTCGTTTGGAAAATTATCCATCGAAGGAAATGATTGCTGCAAGGAGGGGCCACTTCAATGTCAATTGCTTCAAGAGGGTCTTCACAGTACGAAGCATTGCCAGAACAATGCTTTTCAGAAGATCAGAAATATCGAGATACTTGAGGATACCGTCCACAATGTTATCAAATGAGAACAACCCAGAAGAAAAAGGGGCTTCTGTTCTGAAAATTGGGGTATCAGGGGTTTTTGATGTCCCCGAGAGAGGTGGAAAATCCTGGATGTAGTGAGTTCTGCGGAATCCAGGAAGTTCAGTAGAAGTCTCCTTTTTATCACTACTCCTTGATTTGGGCAAGCTGATTTGGAGTTCTTTATTTTCAACAATCCGCGAACGGATGCGCTTCCGTTTCCGTGCAGAACCTTCCGGCAAACTGAAAGAAGTTCCCTCCTCAGTCAAGTCAGAGTCAGTCTCGTCATCTGACAAAAGAGAAAAGGGATTTTTGTCGTTGGTCGATGGTGTGGCTGTCTTCAGGATTTCTGCAAAAGACTGCCTGGAACGTTTCTTATTGAGCGTTGTAGTTTCTCCCCGCGTTGTTTGTACACCGGACACGACGAGAGACAATGAGAAGGAGTTCCTTTTCAGTACTCGCATTTTGGTGCAGCGTGCCTTGCTGTCACAGTGGGAAGCCGTACGTCCCAACTTACAGTTTTGGCAGTTCATGACCCGAGGAACGGATAAACGTACAGGTAGTAGAAATTTTCCCAGCTTGATGTAGTGAGGAATGGCTGAACCAGAAAAGGTCACACGAAACGAGTCTGTGGGGTTAAAACTTTTTTTACCCTCGCTGAAAGATACTGAGCCCAGTTTTTGGACATCCAGTATATTCACCGGGGGAACGAATGGGTTTTTGAAACGGCCAATCGCCTGCTTTTCCAAGATCTCGGGGTCAGATTCGCTTCGGTGACCACACCTTCTATCTCCACACATCACGAGCTGGGATGTAAACTCTATACTGTACGATATAAGCGATATCTCAACTATATCCGCAGGGCTCCGTATGCTGCCCATACAAATAGTGATGTCACTATTTGTGTTTACAATAGTTTTGGGATACTTATACAAAGGCATTTGACGATCTGCATTTTTCTGTATCTCATTTCATGACAACAACAATAATATAAATAACAGTAGGCACATAGACCTTACGTTTGAACTTAAGGGGAAGTTTACCGGCACGAAAAAAAAAATTCGGTACGTTTTTATTTTTCTAAAAATATTGGGAAAAATTATCAAAAATCCAAGAAAATCAGTTTCAACATTTAAATTTTTTTTATATCATCATGAAAAAAAAATGAACCCTCAGTAAAACCGAAAAGTCAACGTTTTGTGGTCTTTTGAGTCCAACTTTATGCCATAATGACTTATAAAAAATGGTTTTTCACGTGAATTTTCTTTGAAAAATTAGAAAAATGTTTTTTTTTTTTATTTTTGATACTTTTTTCCAATATTTTTGGAAAAATCAAAACGTAATTATTTTATCCGGAGTGGTGAACTTCCCCTTAAGAGGAATAAGAAAAAGAAGAGGTTAATTTGCGGTTTTTTAGTCCAATTTTTTCCCATGACAACACAGAAAAAAAATTACATTTAAATTTTTCTTAGAATTAGAGGAAAAAGCTGTTGTTTTTAGATTTGCGACATCTTGTTTCAATATTTTTTAAATCAAAATGTATTTTATCATTAAAAAAATTAAAAAATTAAAAAAAAATTACCGATGAAATATTTTAAATCTTACAGATTATAAAACTAAAGGTCCCAAAATAAAATTTGAGGTACATTCGCTTTGAATAAAAGTCGCCTTCAAACATAGCGTGCGGAGGTCATCAACATAAACTTATAGATCTGGTTCTTTAGAGAAGCTCTACTAAATATTTGTTCAGAATAGAGTTGATTCTGTCCGATGTCTACATCAATGCATCAAGAGAAGCTTTATCGCAGTGTAATCTAATTGGAAAGGTTATGCAATTTTAAGAATACGTTTTATACTTTATCTGTCGGGTTACATTTACAAGCCATTTGTTTAATTTTGATCATTATTGTGCCTATATTAGTATATGCCGGTACTCTAATCACCATTTAAATTGATGAGGTGTGGAGTAGTAGTTTATGAGATGTGGGCCGTGAAGCAGCGCTGCTTTGAAGTTCTCTTCCATCCATAGAGTTCATGAGAATTTGGTTGAAAAAATAAAGAGTTGATCTTATTGCTGATGGATTAATTAAGATATTACAACTTTTTTCGTATAATATAATAATTATTCATATTTAATATAATTATTCATATTTAGTATAATTATTCATATTTAATATAATTATTCATATTTAAGAATATATAATAACTACTAAGCAGATTAAAAAATACGTTTTTTTTCAGCTCCGTCACTCTTATCATCGTACTGCTGCTTGTTGGAGGCACTGGTTATGATTTAGTACTAAAGAAAAGATTTGCTGATAAAATGAGGATGAAGAACTATTCAAAGGATCTCAATTCCGAATCATCTTCAGGTCTGGGATGTACGACATATGACCTCACGCAAGGGCTGCCTGAAAAATCAAATAAGTCATTCAGCATTCCAACTGGAGTAAACAATAATAATTCCGATGAAAACTTAGCCATTGAACCAGTAACAACAGAGGAGGAAAAAATTGGTAAAACCAGGAGTTGATCGTAAATGAATTGATTTTCTTTTAATGTTGTCTTTTTTTTTTAGCTGTATGTGCTGAGTTGCTCTTGTCATTCTCCGTGGTAACTAATTTTCAATCGATTTGTGATAAAAATGTTGGGAACGATACAATTCCTTCCATCCATGGACTGCGAGCAATTTCAATGCTTTGGGTCATTCTAGGTAAGACATGGTACCAATTTTTAGATTGCTTATACGAAAACCAAATGGTAAGTATCGGTTACATCCCCTGAATATATTTCTTACGTAACATTGTCCGGTGATTCGTCTGTGATGGGTCTTACGTTAAATGTGAAAACATCTACATATTTCCTTAAGCAGAAAAAGGTTGGAATCAGAATTCCTGAAATTTGCAAAAAATGCATACATTGCAAAAAACCACTTTGCCTTCAGGAGTTAAAAAAGGAAAATAATATACAAAGCTATCTAACCTAAGATCCACAATTATTAGATTCTACAACTAAAAACTAACAAAACTTAGTAAGCTTTTGTAAAGAAAACATTATACTTATCTGAAGTAAGATAATCCTAGATAACTTAGTTGAAAATATTTTTAAATAATGCAAAAGTTCATAATATGGCTTACCTAACGTGAAATTTACTACCTTATTTAGCTCTCTTTTTGCTCAGTCTGCAATACTGGGAATGGTGGGTTGAATCCCCGGTGTAATCAAGGAAATTTCCGGGTTGGAAATAATGTTGACTTCAATTTGATTCAAATTTCAAGAGTGTACAAGAGGAGTTTTAAAATGATTATATTTTCTTTATTAAGTACCTACTTTTAATAAATTGTTTTGCTGATTAATGTAAATATCTACCAATACTACCATATAACCATTTTCATTTAAAGTAGCCGTCAACAATGCTGATGATGGTACAGCACACAACAACCAACCTACTACTTTCTCTCTGAGATGATCACGTTGGTCATTACGAGAGGAGCAACACAATAGTTGGGTAAAGAAGAATTGCATTATAACACACCATCGACTGGAAATGCTCTCGCAACTTGGGGCTTTAGGTAGTGATGAAAACGTCGCTAGAACTATTCCACAGCCGCAGTCAGTTTATGAGCAAAAAAAGGACGCACATTTTTTGCCTGTAGACTTTGAGACATACTTCAAGTCTCCGCGTACATCGTACGGGTTAGGCAAAAGATGTGCATCTATCTTCAAAAATTGCCGCATTAATGGCCCTTCGCTCATTTTCAACTTCTATTCAATTTTCATACTGCCGTACTCTAACGGAACTATCCACCTACTCTCTACTAAAAGATCATTCTCTAGCTAATAAATTATCACACTAAATAAGTTTCATGTTAGCATTTCCAACCAACTCTGAAAATCGCTAACTTCGCGTATGAAGTAACATAAAAACACTTTGAATGTATAAACTTTAATTTTTGGCCTAGTACTCCTATCTGGCGTATATGAGATCAGCAAGCTTTCGCTTGAAGTTCCCAAGATGAATGGTTTATACCTTTTTGCACAGAATTCTAATCGATTTGCGATCTTTGACAAAGTTTTCAGCGCAGTTTGCCCAATGAGCAGCTCAAATGGGTCAGACACAACCTCCTTCGACTTACATGAAGCGTTGCATAATAGTTCCAATCGAACCGTCAAAATGCACAGTTTTGCTCGATTGGACAACTTTTTTTCGGTTTTGTGGTGACCTAAAAGTATGTGTGCTTTAGTCCTTCGGGGTAAGAGGCAATCACGCTTACCACTACACCACTGGTGCCGCTTACTTTGGACACTTCCAAATTGCCAAAAATCGTAAAACTTCACCTAATAGAGAAAAAAAAAATTTCACAGAAAATATAAGCGGGTAATAAGGCCTTAAAAATTGATTTTTGGGCATAAACCTCGGCTAAAACGGCTAAATTGTTGTGTCAAAATATCAATTTAAAAATTCAACAAATTTGCTGACCTACGTTTTGGTTCATTTTTAAGCGTCCTAAATTCATCGGAGCCGGAGGTGTAGTGGTAAGCGTGACTGCCTCTCACTCCAATCAATCTCAGCCTGATTTTTCTTTTATTTGCTATTTGATCTAGAACCTTACATTTTCTTCAATGGGAAAAATTGAGCATTTGTGAAACTTTTGACAAGAAAACCAATATGTTTGCCGTTTCCATACATTTTCCAATCCACTTTAAAATTCTTCCACAAATTCAAATTTCACTCAACCCATTCAAATTTGACACAGTTGCTGGGGATGTAAATACAAATCAGTATATTATTGGGAAAAAGGTGGTTGTAATCCGCCCTACAAACTTCACCCATTCTTTGTAAACAACATTGCTTACAAGTTGCTCGTTTGCCTGAAATGAAATACAAGTTTACGTGAATGTATCTTTACGTCACAATTAAAATTCAGAATTTTTTGCTGTGCACCCTACTGAGCAAACTCTGGAAATATCATACGGTCTAAACAGCAGCAATGGTCAAACTGGTGCAGATTCCCTACATAAAATTTAAGGAACATGAACTTTTCAGGATTCTAGGTGCGTACATAATTGAATGAAACAGTTATACCGAAAAATGATTTTCGTAACTCAGATGATCACTGTAACAAATTTTTAGTAAATTTGGATTAAAAGATCAAAAAATCATCTAGCGGAAATGGATGTAATGTCGGCCTAAATGCCCCTAATTTGAGCCCATACATAAATTCAGCAATCAACTAAATTTTCAATAGCGACCAAAAATATCCATTAGTGCCGTCCCAGTGGTTCATCTTTTTTTTCCTTCGATTTGTTTTCGTCGATCTTGTTTACCATGCTGAGCACCAATGCTACCGACGCCAGGGAGGCAGCTCCTACACCTGGACCCTACCTATCGATCCATCAACTCATGAACCGGGGACCAACGGCTTTACTTCCCTTCCGAAGGAAGGCGTGATCAGAGATGTTATGCCTCAGAACATCCCGGCGGCGCCGACTGGGATTGAACCCAGGCCTGCTGGGGTGAGAGGTAATCACGCTTACCACTATACCACTGACGCCGCTAGAGTGGTTCATCTAGATAAAATTGATAAATAGCAGATTTTTAGCGATGGGCCCAATCTTAAATCCACTGTCCCCTATATCAACCAAAAATTTCAATATTTTTCACATAAAAGTAAAAATGCTTAATTTTGTGATTTTAAACTTTTTTTTTATTTTTAAAATTGTTATTTTAGTTACAAAATTTTAGGGATATTTGTTAAAACAACTTTTCTAAAAACTGTTTAAATAATATCCTGTGCGAAAAATACCAAAATGTTGTCTATAAAGAAAAGTTCAGAAAAATTTCTGAAACTTGATGTTAAATTAAAAGTGTTTAATTTCACAATATTTGAAATGTTTAGTGAAAACTATTCAACAAATATTTGAAGATACATTTTTAAATTTGTATCACTTATTAATTTTTCCTTTCAAAAATTATATTTTAAACAGTCTTTATTAGGGTGGACCAAAGTGTCCTCCACGCTCAATCAGTATAAATCAGTTCCTGATAATTATCTCAAAATTTAAGCTCATTTTGTTGTAAACTCATACTACATTGGCCTTTGTAGTTTATATGGGAATGACTATGTGGAAAGTGTTCTCGTCATAATTGCAATTATGCAATTTTGTTTATTTGGTCGGTCAAAAAGCTACTTTGGCATAATGCTTAGCGAGTCAGCTTACTACCTGTACGTATGCTATAATTTTCAGCTAAAACTTTAATGAAGATCACTTTTTGATTCAACGTAAAGAAAATTAGTTATTTATTGATTTCAAAGCCGAAAGCTTTCTCATATCGGATTAATCGTATGCATTCAGAACAACACTGCATGTTGACATAGTAGTAGGGACTTTTCAATTCCAATTCAGTTCCAATTCTAAACAGTTTATGGAGCATATAAGAAGAACATCATCTTCCTAATTAGTTAATAACTAATTATCTATCGTTCAATTAAAAAGTGGTAACCAGCAAAGCTGAAGCTGAGAAAAGCTGGAAACCAAGCTAAAGCTTGCTTCATTTAGAATTGGAACAAACTTTTGCTCATATTGTGGTGCTCCTGGTGGACGGATTTGGAAGTTCTTGACGCCCACGTGTCGGGAATTTTGTCAGCTTCACGTATGTATTTTTGACATTCCGCAAATCGACTGTACTTTGTAAACAATCAACATGGAAGTCGAAAGAAGGGAAAAAATTGTGCACAGTTATTTGGAAAATCCATTGTGGTCTGCATCTAGGCTAGCTAAACAGCTGAAATTGCCCAGAAATACCGTATGGCGCGTTATCAAACGGTATAAGGAAACATTGACGACGATTCGGAAGCCTCAAGCCAATCGTCGGAGTGGAACTGTCGACCGGAAACTGCGTGGTAAGATATTTGAAGACGATTAAGAGGAATCCCAATCTGTCGGACCGTGATTTGGCCAGAAATTTCGGTGCTGCCCATAGTACCGTGAGGAGAACTCGACTCCGGGAAGGAATCAAGTCGTATCGAGCTAGCAAACAGCCAAATCGGACCATAAAACAGAATAGTGTGGCCAAAATACGTGCGCGGAAGCTATACGACCAGGTGCTGACCAAGTTCGACGGGTGTCTTCTGATGGACGATGAAACCTATGTCAAGGCAGACTTCGGGCAAATCCCAGGTCAAAAATTTTACTTGGCAACGGCTCAGGGGGATGTTCCAGCCCAATTTAAATTTGTTTTTGCCAACAATTTTGCACGAAAATTTATGATTTGGCAGGGCATTTGCAGCTGTGGCAAAAAAACGAAAGTTTTCGTTACAAATAAGACAATGACGTCGGAACTATACCAAAAAGAGTGTCTCCAAAAACGAATTTTGCCGTTCATTCGATCCCACGACCATCCCGTAATGTTTTGGCCAGATTTGGCAAGCTGTCATTACAGCAAAGTCGTTCAAGAATGGTATGCAGAGAAAGGGGTCCAGTTTGTTCCGAAAAACCTTAACCCACCCAACTGCCCCCAGTTCCGCCCTATTGAGAAATACTGGGCAATCATGAAGAGGAGACTCAAGGCAAAGGGAAAGGTTGTCAAAGACATCAATCAGATGAAGACCTGGTGGAATAAGATAGCTAAAACGATGGACGAAGAAGGTGTGCGCCGCCTAATGAGCCGTGTTACAGGAAAAAACCGAGAATTCCTTCGAAACCGTGACG